GCCGGTAGGCTTGACAGTCGCAGTGCTGTTGCCGGTGCCGTAGGTCATGGTAGTGGTGTGGACGCGCGAGAGGGTGACGGTCTTGGTCTGGGTGGCGGTGGAAGTGATGGTGGTGGTGCTGTCAGTCTGGGCAAGAGCCAGCGCAGGCAGGAGGGCGGCGAGGATCGTGGTAACCTTCATGGTGAACGTATTTGGTGTTGAGATTGGTTGAATCGTAGTGTATGCTGTCAAAGCTGGTGTTGGTAGTGTTATGCGTTGGTAAACGAATGAGTCCCGAGTCTCTCCACCAATATGCGAATGATGCTGTTGATCAAATCTGTCGAATATGTTCTGTTTCTGTAAATCCTGCTGGTTGCTATCGTGGAGACGGCGGCCAGGTGATGATATATGTGCGTTGGCGCAAAAGAGTTGTTTTCAAGGCCCCAAGGTCTGATGAGTGGTGTTGGCTGAAGTTTTGAGTCTGAGCGATGTGGCTCGTGTAAGGTGCCGCTGGGGTGTTTGCGAGAAGACAGAGTCTATTCGCGGATAGAAATAGGCAGGAATGAGCGTCAGTCTGAATACTTGCGCGGCGAGTAGTCAGGTTCGGTCGGAGGAGTGAGTGTTTGTTTCAACGACTGTGCGTGATGGGAGCGAAGGTGAAGTAGAGACTTTGCCAACGAAGTCTGTGGGTTTTTTGCTCGGGGGGGAGTGGTTTGAATAAGAGAGTCCGCGGAGGAGGGGAGCCAACGGTGAGGAAGTGGACGGGACGTGGGTTTTGGGTGTGGGGAGGGGACAGGGCAGGCTGGAAAGAGACGAGAGAAAATGAGTGACAAGACCCGACAGACGATGCAGGCGCCAACAAGGAAGGCGACGTCTGGAGCAAGAGCCAAGAGCGGCCGAGGAGACGCAGAATGGAAGGCGCCCACAACCACGACGAGGAAGGCACAACCTTAGCTGTGGTCCGTGGAAGGAAAGTGGAGGTGCTCGGCCCTACCCTCCTGGTCCCCGTCGCTCGCTCTTGCCCTCAGTGAACTGTGAACTCACCACCTGGTCACCTCACACTCACACAGTTTGCTGGGTTCCTCCTTGCGCCGGCCAGCCAGATTCTTTCCTCGTCCCTGGCGCCATCCACCTTGTGCATCTTTCTCTCACTCTTTCCGTCTCTGCTTCCAGTTCCCCGGGGTGGGCAAGAAGAGGCGGTAGGTACGACCCAGTGACACAAAAAGAGGTTTGCGGTCGCTGGTTGGACCAGGGCTGCGGCTGCAAAAGGCCAATGGCGCACGAGAGAGCGCACTCGGCCGGCAGGGCACTGGGAAGTAACTGCAAGGTACCCGCGTCTGCTTCGGGGAGCCTGAAGTTGCAAGAGACGAATCAAACCTCAAAGCGCATCTCAACAAAAGTATTGACTACCTTGATGGCGGCTGAGAACGCCCACAAAACCAATGTATTGACGACTCGCTCGAGTTGCAGGGGTCTGGATCATGACGGGAAATTAAGGCGCAAAATCACAGCGCTGCGTTCGCTCAACTTGGACCACGTACCCTTGCGCAACTCTGCCTTACTGGCTGCACTATGACATTGCACCATTGGATTATGAAGAGGCATTGTGCGCGCTGCAAACAGCCTCGTCCATTGCGACAGCAACCAAGGATCGGCAGGGCGTCGCGACTGGTCCTCGCTCGCCCGTCCTGAGGCAGTGACAGCGCTTTTCTTAGAAGTCTTCTTTTTTTCTGCGCGCTTCCTCTCAGGCTGCGCATCACGTCAAACCGCCGACGACGACGCTGCTGACGGGCACATCCAATAATAGGCCCTTCTTTTCTTCTTCCAGAATGGAATATGGTCTGAGCAGAACCATCGGGCAACCGCCGACTGATTTGCAACCTGACCAGTGTTGGCTGGCTTGACTCTCCACTCTGCATGTCGGCCGAGACACAAAACGGTCCATTTCTCCATTGTCTGGACTCCAGTCTCGGGCGAAAAGAAAGCCATTGTGGTGGGTGGACTAAGGGTCACTAACGGTGGCAATCTTATTAGCAGTCTTAAGACTTTCAATATTCACAGAGAGAAATGGCATAATCTGCTGGGTGGTCACTCGACACCGCATTCGACGCCGTGTCCGTCCAGATTGGAACCAAATCGTCGTGCCGCGCAGCAACCGCGAATGCCTCCATTCCCAATGCAGAGGGATGTGAGTGGGCTGTTCATAAAAAGAGCGAATTGCACAATTTCCCCGAGTCGAAATGGCTCAGTGTCCCGCACCGACGCCGTTGGTGATTGGCTTTTCCGGGGCCGCTCTGAGATGAGACTCCTCGACGCTTGCCAGGCTGTTCCTGCATTGGTTTCTCTTAGGACAGCTACGGTTGTAAGGTACCTGACGCTAAGCCCTGGATGGCCGGCTCGGTCTTGCCTCAAAGTGCTCTCTCTCTCTCTTTTTGCAGTGCGCTCCTGCTAAAAAGATTTCTCATGGCGCAGGACCCAACCTGGAAAGCGCTCTGCGACCTCCTCCTTCCCAAGCAGTAGTTCAACGGTCTGTGCTGCCCCTAACGAGGAAGGAACCCAGCACGAGGTCTTTGGCAGGTGCGCCTATCCGATACTCCTGGCCATCCAACAATCAAAATCGACCGGGAAATGTCATCATCTTCGTTCCTATTCCCCGTGTCAGATCACGCGGAGAAGCATTTCCCTAGTGCCGATTATCCTTTGCTCCCAATGGCCCCCCAGTCGCCAGCGCAATTTGGCCTTCTAGCGCCCGTCTCTCACGCATCCTCCTGCAGCGCACCACGCGACCAACAACGCAGCAGCAGCAACACCGAAGCCTGCAGCTCTCTGGATAGGTACCTAAGGTAGCCTTCGACGATCCACGGCCTGGGCAGACAGCCAACTCGACGGGAACCATCCCATATGTCTCGGTCCCATCTCATTCTCGTGTTCATCCTCGCCCGTCCGAACTCCCGTCATCTCACGGCGGTCGCTGCCATCCCATTTGGGGGCTGCAAATGCAAATCCTCGGATGAAACCCGACAAACAGCTCCACCGCCGTCAGCCTGGTGTGGAGAGCCTGAGCCGAAGGAGATCAGGCCGGAGATCATCACTGCTCCCAGCAGTGAACCCCTTGAAGCCTTCTCACAGTGGGACGTCCCATGTTCAACCTGAAAGGCTTGACACTTCCTCAGGGCAACACCTGGCCCCAGCTCGCATCTGCTCCCACTTCGCGCGCCCGGAGCGAGTCGTTCGCTACGGCCTGGAGCCATCGCGGCCCCTATTCCGACAGGCTCTTCGACAGGCCTTTGTCGCAACAAGGGCCGTCGCGGCTCCCCTTCTGTGCCACCAAGACCTCACCAGTGTCTGCGGAATCGGCGCATTCACACGCTGAAGGCCCCCCTTCGCCCACTCCGTCCACGTCGCAGCGATAGCTCGCTGCCACGTTGTGAAACCCAGCGTCACACGCTCACGGGTCCCGTCTTGCGTCTGCGTCCCGTCGTGTCTGCATCTTCGCTGGCAGCCGCAACAAATCGTTGGGCCCGAGATGTCCTAAGCTGCACCGCCGAGGCCGTCGAAGAGGCCCGTATGGGCCCCCGACCAGCGCAGTGTCCCTAAAGCTTGGCTTGACTCTCACACCACGACCAGCGATTCAGCTCGCCGCACTGCCTCCGCCATTCGGCTAAATCGGGGGCGCCAGTCGAGGAAGGTTTCAGTCAGAATGGGCTTACCAGAGCTGCTTCTTCCTTTGCCCAGTGCTTGTGCGAGCAAACTCTTCAACCTGAAGGAAAGAAAACCCTCCGTGCGGACGTTCTAGGGGCTTGAGGGGGGCGAAAGAAGAAAATTCTTGACTGTCGCACGCCACCGAGCACAAGAATGAGACGTTACGATAGACTCAGACAGCTACCACAGCGGCTTCCAACGTCTTTACGGTGGGTCCAAGATCAACGGCGCATCCCAGCGCCGTCGCAACTCGGATGCTCTGTGGTGCCACCTTGCTTTGCAGTGCAGCTCTGCTCTGCTGTGCGCTGTGCTGCCAGCAAAGTCATGTGCTTTTCTATGCACCGCAGCTCACTCATCTCAGCAGTTCAGCTTTTCCATCGGTCGTTGCTGTTGTTTCCACGCTACTTCTCCGTTGCTTGTGTACGACAACAATCACTAACCACAGGCTGCATGCAGACGCTCAGCTTCTTCGTATTCAACCCGCTTGTGCTGCTTTTTTGCTTTTCCTCGTAACATGTCTCGACCTCATTATCCAACGGCCAGCTGCAGCGGCCTGCAGGATGCATGCAGGCGCAACGAGCCGCTACCTTCTCGGCTTTTGAATTGGGCAGCGCACCATCGCATTGTTTCTCGCGGATGCACAAAGGGCTCTACATCTCGGCTCGGGTTACAGTCGAGCTCCTGTAATCTGCGCTATTCGTTGAGAAAACCCCGACGCATCCTCGCTGGCTCGTGGCTTCAGGGAAAACTTCCCTCTCATTCGTGCCGCTTCAACCTCGTCTCGTGGCTCTCCACATGCCCATGATGACGTTGCTTTCCGAGTGGGTGCATCCATGTGGTAAAAGCTGAATTCTCTCTAGGGTCCAAAGTGCGGACGGCTCACTGCAATTTCTCTGCCCACTGAGCTCGGAGGTTCTTCCCAGCTGTCTACTTGATGCGAAGCGATGTCCGGAGCCCCGCCCCCGTCTTCCGACCCCTGGGCCGATTGTTCAAGGGACTAGCACCCGGACTCCCCTTCGTCACCGTCGTCATCACCTCCGTCAGCATAACTGACTAGACAGCCGGTGGACCGGGCTGTGAAGATAACCTCAATGCACAAAAGGGGCTTAAAGGGGGACGACAATGCTCGCTTTTTCTATGAATGTAGCTGTGCAACAGACAAAATCGTCTGAAATATCCGCAACAAAACCTGTCGCCTCCCGCCAACATCCTCATGTCGCTTGTCTGCCACAAGCCGCTGCCAGGCCCCTTGGCGACGTCCGATCTTGACATCTGACGAAACAAACCCCGTTCATCTATCGCGTACCTGTTTTGAAACAATGGTCAAGGTTCATCTGAGCGTACGCAATTCCCAAACTCTGGTACCGGTGCAAGCAATTTGGCTCGCGCCGGTCTTGCAAGGCCCCTGGATACCACGCGGCGATGGTATCTGTGCCGTCATGGCTCGGACGATGCGCTGCATGGGCCGAACGATGTCGGGACCGAAAAATTCCGGATATTCCTCGATGGAAACCACATGAAGGAGGCATCGATTGCGGTATGACTGCAATGTCCTATAATGGAATCTCCGTGCGAGTTAATGCTATCTGCGGTATAAATTGAGTGCGGCCTGCTCGGTCTCGTGGTGGGCGAATGCCCTCAACTCGTATGCAGCTGAAACCGCCCTGCCTTTGGGCGATATTGCCGTCAATGTCTTCCAACCTCCTCGGATTTTGAATCCTTTTCATGCCCAATACCACCTTTTGCGCGGAAATCCTCGGCGGTCGGGGTCTAGCAGTTCATCAACGCTATGTAAGAAGGCACCCGCGTTGCAGTGGTTTCGGGCCCACTCCGAGGAAACTTGAGTTCGCTTGTCGGGCCTGGAGCTCAACCCACTTCCTCAGTTTCGGATGCAATCGGTCTATTAGTCTAGTTGGTTAGGACGTCGGATTCTGATTCACATCAGTTCCTTCCGTAGGCCCAGGTTCGAATCCTGGATGGACCTCGTTTTTGACGTTCACGAGCGATCTCGTGTCGCCATACCAAGTTTTTTGTTTTCCTCTTTATTTTTTTTTCCTCCATTTTAGATTTCGATCCTGCACCTTGGATGGAATGACCTAACGTGCGGCCTGCGATCCTGCATATCTGCTAATTATGTCTCGCATATTTCCAGCGAGAAGACTAAAAGACGTTGGGTTAGAGCCACGGTGTGGTGGTACTGCCTCCCATCCATATATGATATCTGACAGTGTGCCTGAAATACTCCGGGGTTGCTCCTACGTTGACATTGCTGCTTCATCGCGCCACTGATCCTTAACGTTGGTCCGGCTACCCAACTTCCCTTCAGCCGCCGAAGAGCTCGGCCCGAGTCGATGCGATTCAATTTCCATCTGGGCGAATCTCTCAGTCAGCCGATTCTGGCGAACGACGTTGGCCAAATTGTATTGAGTGAACAGCTTTTTTGCATCCGTTCTGCCGAGAGGCACAGCTCATACTGACACGCCTATCGGCGCATGTCTTGGGTAATACACCCAATCACCAGCAGCACCAGCTCGTTCGGACATAATCGGCACTTATATGGATGAACCGTTCGAATAAGTAATTCTCGTACGATGCCGGCACACACACAAGCGGCCAACCACTCAACATCGGAGTCTTGGGGGGCGGTCAGCGATTCATGGATTCGTGGATGGCACGGCGCGGTGGGGGTCAACACCAAGATAGAGGAGAACGGAGGACGCTGCCTCCTTCGCGAGGAATGATCATGATTTTCCCAACTACCAGGAACTCGAATCCCCTAGGCCACTCCATGATGATGCTTTCGAGCGTAAGCAGCGCTGTAGTCTGGAATGATAGGTTGAAGACGACACGCACTCGAGGTTCCCCCGCGGAGATCTGAGTCGTAATGTGCCGCGTGCCGAGGGCGCACCGCAACATCCCCGACATTACCCCAACATCTGACCCCCACGAAAGTCCCACATGCGTCTCGCAGGATCCTGACAGCCCATGAGCCGTGACATTCCCCAGATGGCGTTGAGGGTTGGAAGGAGATCGTGGGGGAACGCGACACTCGATAGTTGGGGGTCAAGAGGAGGACCCTCTCGATAGCTTGGGGCTACCCCATGGGGCTCTTCCCCGCGTTCGTGCTAGGCCCATGTTCTCCACGCTGGGAACGTCTGTTTGGGCGAGCTTGTCCGGGAGTGAGGAAAAGGGGGAAGCGTTGCATGAGGTAGGTAGGGTTTCTCCAAGGTGGAAGAAGGGCAGGGGGGATTGGGATTTGATTAAGATCGGTCGAGGTCCCGTTCTTTTCCTTTGCCGCATGAGTTTTGACTGGGAGGTCTTGTCTTTCGAACTTCACCTCTTCTTTTCTCGCCTTTCCAACACGCAAGGTCGAGAGGGCTCTACGTTCGAGACTCAAGCGCATAACACCGACGGCGTCATGAACATGGACAAGAAAGAGAGATCCTCGGACCAGGTTGAGGATGTCAACGCGGAGAAGCTCAGCGTCCACGATGGGACACTCATCATGCCCGCCAGTCTGGCAGCTTTGAGCCAAGAGGATTATGAAAAGGTTGGAAAGAAGGCTACGTTGAAGATGGATATGGTCATCATGCCCATCATGGTAAGTCATTCATTCCTTTAACACGCTCCACCTGCGGAGGCTAACATGGCATAGGTCATCATGTATGTCCGTAAGTAATCACTACCATTCGTTTTACGATTCGAATTCGAACCTGACACGTGTGAAGTCAACTACCTCGACCGTCAGAACATTGCCAGCGCCAAGCTCGCCAACATTACTACGGAACTGAACCTCAGCCAGGTCGAGTATCAGACCACAGTCAGCATTCTCTTCGTCGGCTACAGTACGTCCCCTTATCAGCTACTACTGTGTGCTTTCGACTGACGATGGTCGCAGTTCTGATGCAGATTCCTTCCAACATGATTGTCAGCAAGATCAAGTGGCCCGGGGCGTACATCTGCGCTGCCATGGCAGCGTGGGGCGCGATTTCGTCTCTCATGGCCGTCGTTCACAACTACGAAGGTCTCCTGATGGCTCGGTTCTTTCTCGGATTTATCGAGGCCGTTTTCTTTCCGGGTGCCCTTTACTACCTGTCCCTTTTCTACAACCGTAAGCAGTTCGCCTTGCGGACGGCAATTCTCTACTCTGGGTCGCAGTTGGGCAACGCTTTTGGTGGACTGTTTGCCATTGCCATCTTGAATTTGGATGGGACCAGTGGCCTTTCTGGGTGGCGATGGGTGAGTTCCTTCTATTGATGATGTTCGTGTTGATACATTCAGGCTAATGCCATGCCAGCTCTTCCTTGTCGAGGGTGTTATCACCGTCGGACTGGCCATCCCCTTCGCCATGATTCTCCCCAACTCCAACAAAAAGATCCCGACCCTCACCCAAATCGAGTGCGAATGGGTCCAATACAACTTTGCAGCCGATCAAGGCCAAGAGGACAACGCAAGCGAGGTGACCGCCTTCAAGGGCTTCATGATGGCCGTCGCGGACCCCAAGACCTGGATGCTCATGGGAATCCTCTACTCCGTGTGTACTTCCTTTGACATTATTCCCCAAACCATCTCCGGGTAGACATGTCAACTGACCACAACCACCAACCACAGACCTACATCGTCGGCGCCGTCGCAAACTTCTTCCCCTCCGTCGTCGGCGGCCTCGGCTTCTCCCGCACAATGACCTACGCCCTCACCGCGCCCCCCTTCATCCTCTGCGTCTTTACCATGCTCCTCAACGGCTTCCACTCCGATCGCAAGCAGGAGCGCTACCTCCACATCGTTATCCCGCTCTGCGTCACCCTCGTCGCCAACGTCATCGCCGTCTCGACCATCAACATCGCCGCGCGTTATGTCGCCATGATGCTGCTACCGGGCTCCTTCTACGCCGCCGCTGTCGTTATCTTATCCTGGATCACGGGTAGTCTCGCGCAGCCGAGCGTCAAGAGGGCCAGCGCTATCGCGCTGATCAATGCCATGTGTAACACGCCTAATATCTGGGGCAGCTATTTGTACTACGGCGCGCCGCGGTACATCACCGCGTTCATTGTGAATATCGCGGCGACGGGGCTGGCGATTGGGTTTGCTACTGTTACGCGGATCTGGCTGAGGAGGCTGAATGCGAAGTTGGACCGGGGCGAGGACTGTGGCAAGCATGGGCCTACTGCGGCGCAGGTTTCTACTGGGTTTAGATATCTTATCTAGGTTGAGCTGGAGATTAGCTTATGGGCCAGGGGGTGTCATCGGGACATCTACGAGATTTTAATGGACGGAAGTCGTAGATTGAATACAATGTGTTATATTCAAAAGTCTTCCCTATATGAGAATTCAAAGGATTGGATTGTGTTTTGTTCACAGAATAACAAACCCTAGCACTAGTGTCAACAAGCAGGCCGCGAGGGATTATTACAAAATTAGGATCTTGTAACGAAGCCAAACATTTCCAGTTAATAAAGCAAGAGGCTTCTCTATTTATATCTTCTTTCTTCCCTTCTAACTTTTCTTCCGCAGTTTGCTACTTAGAGGTATACCTTATTAACTACTATATAACTCTTATAAGGAAATAATTAAAAATTAGGATAGTTTATAGAGAAACTTCTATAGCTACTTATAGGGGTAAATAAAGAGAGCGTAAATTACTAAAAAATAAATATCTTTTTTTTTATACTACTATAACTTATTACTTTTTTAATATTAAAATATTATTACTATATTATATTAATACTATCTATTATTATTTTAAAAGTAATAATAATTTTTTTATAATTATTTTAAAAAACTAAAATAAAATATATAAATTTTTATATATATAACTTAATTTTTTAATATAAAGTTTAATAGTATATTAAGTATATTATTACTTTTTACTAATATACTTTAATGAAATAATATATTATTAAATTAAAATATAAAGATATTTTAAGTATATTAAAATAAACTTTAAAATAAATAAACTATATAATACTAATTAAATTAAGCGTTTTATATTATTAAAATATAATACTTTATTAAAAGAACTTAAGGATATATATATAATTATTATAATATAGTAGTAATTAATAGAGGTAGTTTACTAGATATATAGGGGGTAGTTAGAGTAAGGGGGACCTCTTATATATCCCTAGTTATATAAAAATTCACAAAAGAATTCTTCACAAAATGCTCTATCTATATCTACTTACTCCTAAACACTATCTTAATCTAAAGCTTCACCCTCCCAGTAACCTCCTTCTCCGCCCTTTCGCTATTAACCAGCTCAGGGACGATACCCTCGATGCTGGCTGCACCCGCCAACGCCATATTCGTCTCCAGCTCATGCCTCAAAATGTGTATCAACCTCCTCACACCAGCCTCTCCATACCCGGCCGTCATCGAGTACAAAAACGGCCGGCCAATGCCAACCGCACTCGCGCCCAACGCCAACGCCTTGAGAACATCCGTCCCCCGCCTGATCCCACCATCGACAAACACCTGGAACTTTGCTTTCGTCTGCGGGGCGAGCAGATGCGGTGCGTAGCGCCTGATCTCCAGAAGCGTCAACATCGGCGCCTGGGCGGTGTCTTGGCTTCGCCCGCCGTGGTTCGAGAGCACGATCCCATCGA